CAAAATTTAAATTGGCAACTACTGATATAAAAACTAATGCAATGGTATATACAAAAGTAGTCAACAATACGAGGATGTTATAAAGGTATAAATTATATAACACTACCTAAATTATGATAATTTAATTTGGGGTTTGCATCATTCTCTAATTTCAGAAAAAAATTAATTGCTTAGCAAACCTGCAATATTTTTAAAAAAAATTCTAGGGTTGAATACAGTGTTATCAAACCATTCTAACTGAAATAAAATACAGGGTGTTTAATTTAAAAAATATACATTTTTATTTGCCAGGCAAAACTGTAACACCCTGTATATGCAAAAATATTTTTAAAATACGTATTTTTTTAAATCTATTTAACTTTCATTTAAAACTTGTTTGCGTGTCTATAACACAAACTGAAATAATGAACAATTACGCACTAATGAGACACCCTGTATAAAACACTAATAAGTTACATAAATTACATTGTATTTTAATAGTAGTTTTTGCAACAAGAGTGGATATGATGGCCATACTACTAGAGTTGTACAGTATATTTTTTTTACAACCCACTTACGAATATCCACAAATTAATTTAGAGACTAAAAATAATGTTTTACTTTTACTAATTTATAAAATTAAATAAACTCGGAAACAAAAATATTTCATTAATCTTCAATCCTACTCTGACTCTGCTCTATCAAGACACCTATTTTTTTAATACTCATAATTATTAAATTAATTTTAAAAAGTTTTAATAAAATTTTCGATTTATTTGTAAATATAGACGAATATCTTGTAAAATTTCATTATTTATCGAATTTTCACAAGAAACACTCACTTTTAATTAAATTTAAATCAAAATAACTAAAAAATATACTGACAATTATTTCGACAGAATTGTCATTTATTTAAAATTTAAAAAAATAGTAGCCTAGTGACCATATATGAACTGTGATTGGTGGATTTCATATCCGTACATTATCCTTACTAAAATCGATATGAAATTATATTCGTTCAATAGAATGCAATGGCCGTAGATTAAATAATATCCATGTGGTTGTAGAAAAATTTTTTAAATCTTACTCGCTATATGTCCCCATGGAACCGAAATATTAAATTCTTCCACTGTTTTCTTTTGCCTCAAAATCATTGTAATGCACAACTATATGTATATTATAAATTTATTATTATTTCTGTATTAAAACCAGTTGTTTTTATTTGCACTGTTGAATGTCTACTGATATCATTTAACCTCGAAACACACACAATCAACATAATTATTATTTTAGTAAACGAAATTAAAGGAGTGGCTAGATGACCAGTAGTTAGTTAGATATGAATAAAAATCTTATACCTTATACCTTATTACCGAATTAGTATTATAACCCGTGAAGTTGGTTTAATATGTACTCTGAAATTTTTATTTAAGTCCTTGCATTAAATACAAAGGTAGCTAACGATACATTTATATATAATAAAAAAAAACTATCTTTTTCTGTCAAGTTAAATACCAATAAAATTATGTATCTTTAAAAATATCTGGTATGTACTTTAAGAAATTGTATATTCAAACTAATTTTTTTAATCCGAGGCTTCCTCTGTAATTTCCCACTCACTCCTACGCGTTTTAGAGATAAATATTGCGCCTAATAGGTGATAATTGGCTTGAATTGTTAATAAAGTGATTTTAAAGAATACCTGGTAGTCTTATAATTAAAGACCGGACAATTTAATTTATTCTTATCAGCGAAGTAACGGTAAGAGCGGACCTTCGATTTGAATAATACATTCTGAATAAAACAAGTTATTTACTGAACTGGTCGACACAGTAGATAAGATATTGGATTTTTATCGCCCGGGCGTAACATTTGGGGCGGGCTTATTATTACATTTACATTGCAATAATTATTTTATTAAATTTTAGTTCAAATTTGGTTGGATATTATTATATAATTACAAATGATATTATTATTTATTTTTTTATTGTGTTGTGGGATAATGTTGTTGGCTTTTTCTGTTAATATATTATTGACTAATAAATATATCAACGAGGATACACCATCATTAGTTTTATGTTTAGAGTGTTCCAATATACACTCTTTATCCTAAAGTAGCAAATATACAATTATATACAATATATACAATACAAATTAATATCAATCTTCTTCATTTGAAAAATATGTTTGTATGACTGCATATTTTTCTAAATTGTCTTCAGTGAAATTACTTCTTTTAGAAGTCAATAAATCTTTAAACCTAGAAAACGATCGTTCTACGTCACAACTCGTTACAGGAGCAAATGAAAAATGTGGAACAAAATCACAATATTTTAAAGCAGTTTCATAATCGTTAAAATTGTTCAGGGAGATTTGTTTCAGAGTCTGTAAATTTGGATTTCTTTTAATAACACAATCTATTTTATGGTTAAATTTATCTTGTAAGGGCCACTTTACGTTTTTTAAGTGTAACAATGTCGATTCAAATTTTTCCATAGCAACCGATAATTGTAAGTTACGGGTTTCAAGGAATTTTATAGTTTCTGGGAGACACGAAAAATAAGTCGCAAGAAAATTTAACTCCGACTGCAAAGTTGTTTTTGTTATTAAACCTTTACACTGAGTGATAGAGAGAGCGTCCTCTGATAAGTTGGAAATAAATACTTTTAGTCTGTCGAAATGCTCCGAAAAAAAGAACACAGCCTGTAACCAAGTTCCCCATCGTGTAATAACTGGTTGTGGAGGTAGGGGGATATTCGGACATATTTCTTTATATAAAGAAACTCGGGACGGTGCTTTTAACAAAATTTTTTTAAAACAGCTAATCAACGAATTAATGTCTGGAAAGCTGTCACGGATAAACTCACAAACTCGGTGTAACGCGTGAGCAAGGCAAGTTACATGCAGCATGTTTGGAAAATGTTCTTGTAATAGTTTCCCTGTTTTCAACATTACACTTGCCGCGTCTGAAATAAACAATAAAACTTTTGAAACGTCATTATCAATTACATTGTTCAATCCACGTTTCACTATTTCATAAATCATTTCAGCGTTCACAGTTTCACGAAACACACTAGAAACTAAATACTGTTGTGAAGTATTTTCAGCACTTAATAATCCTACAACAACATTAACAACACATCTACCCTTTATGTCAGTCGTTTCATCTGCACTAACCCAAATATATTTGCTGGAAATTTTCGTTTTTATTGCCGTCATTGCTTTATCGTACTGATTTTGAATATAATGTTTTCTAATTGTGGATTCATCCGGTATTTTACGTTTAGTATATTTACAAAGAAAATTTTTGAAAATTGTATTATTTAATTTTGTTAATGGAATATTTGCAGAAACAAATGCGTTGCATAAATCTTCATAAAAGATTTTGTCTGGACATCCCTCTAAAGATTGCATGTGTTTTTGTGTTTTCACATGTTGTGTCATACTTGACTTTCCATTAAAAACTAACACCTGATCACAATTGCGGCAGTATAATTTGTTGTCATTAAAACGACGAAAACAATCAAAGTCCGATAATAAATTTTCCATATTTACGTTTCCAGTTTCTATCACTTTTCCCTTTGAACTAAACAAATATACTCATTGGAAAAATCTAGTGATATTTTTACAAGACACTTTCTTCTCAAATCTCCTGTTTATCGACTCTTTGTTATCTTTTTACATTTTTTCAACCAACAGATACCTATATAGAGTGAGCAATTGAATTAATACATACATTACAGAAATTTAACAGACATTTATTTTATTGTCTCATCGTGTATAAGTACCATAATATCCACAGGAAATAAAAACATAAATGTTTTGTTACAAAAAATCGGTATGTACGGTATCGATAAAAGCCAAAATATTCATAAATATAATATAAGGATTGACTTTATTTGAATAAAAATATCACCGGCAACTAACCGACAATGGATCGAGAAAGTATAAGACAACATATGATGGGCCTATTTGACATTCATTTTAGGCCCTCTCTACAGCGTCTTAGTCCAAACGCTCGTAGAGTCCTAATATTTGGCCCCGATGCAATTTCTCCAACAATGAATCGGGACCAGCTAAGGCTAGAAATTTCCAATTTTCTGGAGGAAATAACAAATTCGGGGGAGGCAGCTGGGGTCTTCGATCCTCATTTTAGGCAGGAGAGTAGTGTACCACGCCAAAATATTGAGGAATAGATATTTTGTAATTATATAAGAGATAATAATAAAAAAAATATCATACAGAATATCGTTTACATTACTACACCTTAAACTCGCTTATGAAAAGTTTAACATCTTCATCAAAAAAGTTATTTTTTTTTAAGGAAAATTTCTCAGGCCACAAATTAAAGGATCTGAGGTTACTAAAAACTTTTGTAAAATATCCTACATATCCTCGGCGTTGGTGAGAAGAAAACATTAAATTTGTTTAATGAAAATGATTCAAAAGACAAAGAATATAGGTACACGATAAAAAAAAATCTCACTTTTTTGTATTAGTTTTAATGTCTATGTATATATCAGTACACTTTTTTTATCTTGTTTTAATAAAAAAAAGAGGTTTGTCCTGATAGTATTAGAATCTGCCGCACTGTCTGCCGTCTTAAATAGCGAACCCAGAATGAGACGCCTATGTGATTAAAACCAATTATTTGAACGCGATTAAAATGTCCGGTCTTTACTTATAATGTATTTTTTATATGCTAATAAGAATATTTTAATCATTAATTGCTAGAGAGAATCGTTTAATTTCTTTCAATGTATACACTCACACAACAAAAAAATGACCATTTAATGTCAATGCTCTTTAACGATTTTGGTATTTGAAAAATAGTTGACAATATGTAGGAAACCTATTTTTAAATTTTTTTTAAGCTTGTATTTATAGTGGCAGTCACTTTGTTAATTATTTATTTTCTTACTTATGTACTTGTCAGCTTTCAGCCTCTAATTTGTCAATTTCTAACTAATGGATTGTCTATTCATTATCCTCAACATACTGCAATTACTGATGACATACAAATGAGCAATACTAAAAAACACGGTAGTGTGAGTAGTTAACATTTACAAATATGGATAACACTTTCTCGTTGTTTATTTGAAAAGAGTAACGCCAAGATGTTGACATACGCCTACAATCGATACAGAAATATACATTCATAAAATTATCTAAAGAGGATGGTAACTAATTCATTTACGATCACAAAAGTAAAAATTAAATTAATTTTACTTATAAGTGCAAGAAGAAAAGTTTTCTTACTTTTGTTGGTACATGGAATCATTCGAATCGTATGGTTCGGCAAAATTGCTGTTAAAAGTGTAACGTGCTCACTAGCGTTTGTGATTAAATCCGGGCGATCCGACATATGGGATATCAGAATCGGGGAAATGACTCAAGACTGCCACTCTAAAATTTACTCAAGTGTCAATTCAAAACAAGGTTGACAAATAAAATTATTTACCCCACAATATATCTTTCCAGCTGCTCTACACGAAAAAAGTGTATCTCTGCCTTGAAGAAAGTATTTTAGCCAGATATATAGAAATATCCAAAGAAAATTAAAATTTGATATGACTTTAACAAAATCTTTATTCGTCAAATGTGGTAATAATATTAAAGCAATGTAGATCTCAACATACACCACATAAAAAAAATTGTTTAGTTTGTCCAATTGATTAATAACGACCTCACAAATCCCATACAAAACACTCCAACCTAATTATATAAAATGGATTTACATACTTTTCGGGTTTCTCCGTCGATACCTATATTGATTTTCGATGATGTTTGGAATTCGTAACAATCTGTCTTAATAAACTGTACTAAAGAGTATCTCTATTTCTTATTATGATCAACAACAAGTAAAAAAATAGATTTATTTAATAAAAATTGCTTTTAATTCACATTACACACAATTTCAACCACTTTAACAAACCCACCATCAACAATTTCCAACTTCTTCAAACCTTTTTTAGCGAATGTTAAAAATTCGTTTACGAAATTAATACATACAAAAAACGGCAACATAACTCAAGTTCAATTATGTCTACAACATTTCTGGTCGATTTTTTTCCAAATAGGTATGTGCCGTTTCCGAGAACAATTTGAGGATCTTGAGACATTATGGAATGAGCGTCTCGACTTTGGAATCTTTTCCTTATATATTTTTTGATTCGACTATTTTTTAAGTCAAAATTATATCGGATAAGTTCGGAAAAAAACGGTTATGAAACAATTCTACAAAAATATAGGAAGTTTTACTAGTGAAACAACTGTTAAATCAATTTATCAGTATACAGTACACAATACACTGCAGTTGCAAAAGATCTTATAGTTATACTTTTAAAATACATTAAAAAATAATATTAGTAACAGAAAAATACAATATACAATAATAAAATTGTCACAATATAAAAATTGAAGTCAGTAATGTAGTGAAAGGCAACATGGCAACTGGTTTCGGCACTAAGGCTATCCATCAGGCCTGAAAGTGAAGAAAACATTGATAACTACATGTTAAAAAAAAAAACCTTATAGATCTGCAAAGACTACCAAATACTCGTATGTTGAAATGAATATTAAAGGTATAAAGATTCTTAAAACTAAACTATGGTCACTTCTTAAACCATCGAAGATATAAAAGTGGCTTTGGTGCAAGGCGAAAAATTATACATAAAAATAATGGTGGAAATACATTATAACATAAATAAAAATAACTGTAGAAAATTGAAAAATTTGAGGAAAAAGTATCCGGGACTGGGATAAAAGAAGTCGAGTCCGATAGGTGAAAAACAATTATAATTTTGTTGATAAGCTCTAGCGAACAATATGTCCAAATAGCAGCCGAAGGTTTGCAGCAAGGAAGGTTCCACCATGGGCCATGTCACATGGGAGTGAATTGGTAAATGGGAAAGTAGTAGGATCTTTAAATGGTGGCACAATAAGCCGCAGGCTACAGATTAGGGTAAAAAACGGTGTAAAAACTAAAAAATAAGATAATAGAGTGTTGGTTTAATCAGCAAACCAAGAACCTTAATGAGACCTTAAGAATCCGTTGGCATGTTTTAAAGGTATCAGACAGAAACATTAAGCAGTACCACAAGTGAGTGAAAGAGTGTGTACCTAGGCCCACGAAGGGAATAGGAGTACCCTTTTTTCTTCCGGTAGAGGTTATCCACATTATCACCAATCTTTCCTTGATGCACACAAAGTTTGATTCTGGTTGGTTTTGATACAATATTAAAATCCAAATTTATATTTAAGCTGAATAAAAACGGCTTAGTTGTAAACGAGATACCAATAAAGAAAAAGTAACTGGATGTCTACAAACTACTAAGCAGTTGGATACCCTTCTTTGCCTAGAAATAAATTGTGTCCGCAGTTAGTTCTATGTACGTTTTCCTAAAAGTTTTGTCTGTCAACTGTGTTGTGTCTCGTGAGAACAAAGAATCTAATAGAATAAACCATGCTATCATAAGCAATACTTCTCCATGTCTGCATTCTAAACTCAGAGAATACTGGTTGGGTGATCTATATGTTTCGGTGGAAGCCTATATTTATTTGTTTTGCACTCTCTTCAATTGATCAATATATGACACTTATTATTGTTAGGGGCAAACATAACTAAGCAATATTCTAAAATGCTTCTTACTAAGTAATTAGATTGGAGGGAGTCAAAAGCTGCTGTATCGTAAATGTGTTCAATATTTATTTTGACAAAGTCCACCAGTCGAAAAGCTCTATTCATAATTTCTTCAAGAAGTGGAATAAACGACAGATCTTTGTCGATAGTAACATCAAGATCACTTATAGATTACTCCAGATCCAATAATATTATAATCATGCATGCTGGTATTAGCTGCTTTATGAAACCTTACGATATATTCAGATTAAACATATTATCATTGCACCAATTAACCAAATTGTTGAAATGTTATAGTAAATAATTATGTAAAATGTAAATGATCATTTATGATTAAAACAAATTTTAGTTCATCTCCATAAAGAAGACAACTGGAGTTGTTAAAACAAGTTAATGTCATTAATGAAGATGATGAACAATATAGGCTCTCTATTCGAGCACTGTGGCACTCCTGAGTATACCAAGAGATTTACCATTATATAAATTCACTTTCTGACTACGTTTAGTTAAATACAAACTAATAAAATCGATGTATTTGTCAATAATACCTATTCTCTTCCATTTACTCTCAAGTTATAAACAATAGCCTCCTATTCAAAATATTTCGATATTCATGCATCTTTTTATTAACAAATTGGTAAAAAATGTTTCTTCTTATTTGTAGATTACATCAGACGGTGGACAGTAGATATATCATATGTAGATATATCACATGTCCTTCCACTTTTAGTATATCATAAAAGGGCATTAATTAGCTATTTCCTGAATGCTTATGTGAACAACGTTGATTGTTTCGAGTTGATGCAAATACTTTACGACCCAATAAAAACGTTACTGCAAATTCATACAGAGGGTTTTAAATGAAATATATGTTCAACATTGAATCAGTAGCGTACACCATACATGCATCATTTTAACAGGTTTATTAAGCAAAATGGGGCAAATAATCCTAATATCTAATGTTAAGTCAAAACTTGATTTGTTTTCAAGAAATTCTAACAAACGTTTAATCACGCATTTTATTATTTACACTTTCTATCAGACTTAAGTTTAACATTATGTTATTATAATATACAGAAAAATACTGTATTTTTCCTTTAAATTGCCAAACTCTCTCTAAATATAGTTTTTTTTTCTAATTTCAGGTCCAGATAACTGTCTTAGACAAAAACGACAGTCCACCATCCTTCAAAGACACTCCCTTGCATTTTTCCGTTTCTGAAGACCTCGGAGCCGGACAGTCTATCGCCACCATCAAAGCTGAAGATCCTGACAGTATTGGCACACTAGATTACACCCTCTTAAAAGGAGATGACGGGCGGTTTTCTCTGGATAAAACCACCGGGACGTTGCGATTGGTTGATTCCTTGGATAGAGAGACGAAGGATACTTACAAGTTGCTCGTGAGATGCAGTGATGGAAATCAGTTCACCGATACTATAGTTTCTATTGAGGTGAGTATTTAAGTTATTTTTTATGTTGCCTTGATTTTAGAAATAATAGGTAGTAATGGAATATATGTAGAACGCAGTCATCTGTTATTGCGCCAAAGTTAGGTTAAAATTTTAGAGTTACGATAAAATGGGAAATTTTTTTAGTGGTGGGGATAAATTGGATATTGCATAATATGGCAATACCGCCAGCATATAATGTAGGTCATCAAATTAGCCACTAATACAAATTTCGATTAAAAGGACAACGATTCACTCGTAGACACGTATTGGCATAATGAATCTGTGTTGTATATTCTAATATTGATTTTGTATATTGCTGAAATTGATATCGACAGATTTGCCTTCATTCAATTTAATTCATCATCTGTTCGTCCAGGTGTTAATCTAGTCTAAAGATGTTTGCAATTTTCTATTAGTGTCTTCGCAATTACAGTATCATTACCAAATGTTGCGAGAGTATTTTGTTCAAGATTAGGACTATGGACTAGGAAGCCTTTTGACTTACCCAAGTCACTGTTAATGCAACGCAGAGTATTGCGCGCTTTAGTATTACACGTTAACTTAGTATAATTATCAGACCCTACGGAATGCTAGTGAGTAGAATTTTAGTGTTTAAGATTGCAATCTTAGATAATTGAGCTGAAAACAAAATTACTCATTGGTCAAATTTTTATCAAGTCTTGAAAATAATAACCGCCCCTCATGAAGTTTTTATGAACTAGTTAGTACTTTGCTCCGAGAGAAAAAAAAATAATTATTCTTCTTTCTGACTTTTAAGAAATGTTCCTAAAATAGCATTAGCCAATAATTACATAACTATTAACCTTTTTTGATGCATTTAGTTGGGTTACGTCGTAAAAATCTCCTTGAAAAGTATATCCTGACCCAATTTCAATCGTTAAAAAAAATGGAGATCGGGGTCATGAGATCCCTCCGGCAAAATCGACGATCGTGTGTATCAAGTAAAGTTCAGTACATAAAAACCGCCAACGCACAACCTCCAGACAACAAAAATACGATTTATAATTGTTTGCGTTCGCGCCCTAATCGAACATCTAATCATGACGACATCGAAATCCAATAGATAGTTAATTAAAAGCGCAAGAAGAACAAAGAAAGATTGATAAGATATTTTGAAGAAATGCGGAACTTGTTTTGGACACCACTCAACCTGCAGAGAAGGAGGAGGCGTATACCGACTATTATAACAGAGAAATGCTGGTATATATAGTACGGGTACTAACTATAAAGAAGTGAGTGATCCTGATTTGTAAAATAATTTTTTCTTTTCTTTTAAAATAGGAATATTTTCTTCTTGTCTTTTCGTTGATTCTGCAAGCATTTTTAATGCTTTTAATGCTGCGACATCTGTATTAAATAGAGGACTGAACTTAGATACCATAAGGTACACAGCAAATTGGTGGGGTGAATCTTCTTGTTTTGCTAACTTTTATAATCGGCATACAAGGTAGGATCCCACCTCTTATGTTGAGAACATTCCAATTTAGTTTATTGTAGATTGAACTTTGGTTTGTTTTTTACACTTCTCAATATTTTTTAAAAAGGTTATTTAAAATTGCCTAGTTTCTTGTAGTCACAATTGTCTTTAAACATAACTTGGGAAACCCTTGTTGATGTCTCAATGGTGTGGTAAGAATGTACTAATAAGTATATCGAAACTTCACAGTAAAGCTTTAAACATTCATTGATATTAACAGATGACGTTAGTTTTCAAGCTATCGGTACCACAAGCGTTACTTGCCTCTTTTTGTGTTTTTTTAGTTATACACCCTTCGGACCTCCCTGCTACACCCTAATCCGTCTATAACCTGGTGGTACAATAAGACTCAGGCTGCAGTACCTACTACTTTTCCATTCACCAATTCACTCTCTTTCATCGTCGTCGATGGTTAATTGCTAGTCGGTTGAGTCCCATGGTGACACGGCCCATGGTGGAACCTCCCAGCGGTCACCCATCCACGACGTAACCGGAGAAATCACTGCTTAACTGTTGCTTGACTTTAGATATTTTCAGGTTATTTTTCTATTTGCATAAGTATTAGTTTTAAATATGTTCATTGATCATAACGTTTTTAGTATTAACTTTCTGCAATTCTTAGTTTCCCTTTTTTCTTCGTGAATGTCATACATAACGTTCGATGAATGAATGTTTTATTTTTAATTAAATTATCTAAATTATTCCTCTCTACGTTATTGAGGTACATTAATAAATATGATTATAAAAGACAACGGTTGTCGTCGTCACATTTTGATTGGTCTAAAAAGGGGTCTCTCCAATCGATTTTCGTTTGAACAAGTGCCCGTACTAGAATCCTTGTGCAGTTAGCGGCTCACAGAGAGACTAGCCTCGGCTAGCACTTTATCATAGTTGCCACTACAGATGCAGATCTGGCAGATTTCAGACTAACAGCCGCGGTGCATTGAACCGTAATTGTTGATGGTAGTACTCGATTATGCCTCACTTTACAATTATTAATGTCCCTTCGTTCAAACGGAAAAATGTCTTGCTATTTTCTAACATCTGTTGATCGATTTTCGAATTCCTGTAGAACTATGCTGATCAGTCACTGGCGAAATGACATATTGATGAAGGGTTCCGCTTTTTCAGAGGTTCGTAGAAGATTTGTTGAGTGTAAATTGGTTAAAAATTTATGTTGCTTTTGATTGAAGACAAACTACGAGGTTTCATTCAAAATTTTACGTAAGATAACGCCTAGATACCACTAGGTACATTTTTATCTTTCGTTTTTAGCTCGCTATTCCCATAGTCATCTTTTATTTATGGAAGGTAAACTTCTTTTTCTTGTTTTATATTTTTTAATCCTTTTAAAAACAAATTCTTTGTTTGAGTCTTATTTTTCTTGTTCCTTTCATGTTTTCCTTTTATGTTTTTAAAATCTTCCCAATTTTTAGTTTTTGTTAAATTTTTCTTCCACAAACATGCTTCTCTTTTCGCATTATATTATTATTTTATTGCTATTTGGTTCCTAATTTGATATGTATGAATTAAAACATCTTTTAAGCTTTTTAGAATTAAAAGTGAGTCACGTCAAGTTATCTGAATTTTGTATGAATTGTTATACTTAAAAAAATGTCCAAAAGGAAAATAATTACAGGTTCGAATATTGTAAATTGTTCGCCCTTGAAATATGTTAACGATATTGATAAACTTTTATTTATTATTCAAAAATAAATATGCATATTTAAGAACTATCCGAAGAGAAATTATTGTAATTGTCTTTGTTTCGTTTACCTAAAAATAAAACCAGTAAAAATCAGCAAACAACCTCATGTTCCACCAATGCATTCAACAAAAAATAAAACCGCAACGTAGCTTGCTCATTTTATTTCATTGACAGCAAATACGAATTTATTCCCATAAATAAATCAAACCATTTTTAAAATTCCTAAAAGTAACATATCGATCCCATCGTACTAGCCAATGATTAATACCTTCGTAAATACGTGTTTTGATTTTTTATATTTCACAAATATTATTGACGTTTTAAAATTGTTTTTGACGTGTACCATACCGTAAGTGATTACTTCTGTTTTATTGATGGTACAGTCATAAATACTTGTCGTTGTAAATGATGGGCAAGTTTGAAATCATGGTGGCTCTGAGAGATAGGATAGAATATTCCAAAATTGTTGTTTTGTTTCCTATTTCAGGGGTGAAAATTTACAAAAAAATCACACCCCCCTTTGTTTTAATTTAAAAATCTGATGTGTCCAACACATGACTTTCCTATCTAGTTATTACAGGCTCTTTCCGGTTATTTTGTACAACCTATTGCAGCACCTCCATAAATGTTTAGAGGATAAACTAAATATATACATTTTCCACATACATCTACTTCGAAACATTTTTCTATAGATATTCATTGAAAACGAAAATACTAAAATATTTAAATTTAGCACTTTTCCTACTATTTTTCCATTACGGTCCATTTTAGAAAAATCATGTATAAATAAAAATTATAGAGATCGATATCGCAAACAACTTTTAATTCAACAATTTTCATAAAAATCAGAATTTTGCACATTTTGTAAAATTTCTCGAATACGGATCATTTCAGGAAATTTTGACATAAATAATAATAATGACATAGACAATAATATTAGAAGTAACTTTTATTTGAACTATTTTTTTCTCCAAACATAAATAACAGATATATTCCATAAAATATAAAAACGGCCTCCCATAAAATACCCCCCAGATGTTCCGACTTTGTCCAAAATCTAATCATTTTACGTCAGGCCGAAATAAAACTTAAGTTTAAAATTTAATCACGATAATAAATTATCAAAACTCAAATGTAATAGTAGCAAAATGAAATAAAATGAATTTAGCTCAAAGCCGAATATCACATAAAATACAACGACCGTTTCCCCTTCCGAAAACAACTACTCCTTTGGCTAATACCACAACAGGCATTGAATTACATCCGAAGGAAAAACAGCAGAGATAGAAATTAATTTTCAACACTCTCTACTTCGATTTTGCTCACCAAGGAGAACATCATTCTTGGACCGGTTTCGTCCTTATTAGGACTCCTCAGCAAGAAATAGATAGGTTCTCAATTCCAGTCTCTAATGGAATTAACAAATGCTACACATTTCACCAGTATACCATAAAGTTGGTTACGGAGAGAATAAAATTCAAGTAGTGAAAATGGTGTCGCCATCTGTTCTTAGTAAGCAAAATCAAAGTGCGCTATGGTACCCAGTTTGAAAACTAGGTGGGACCAAAAAACCAGGCGGGCAATTTGTACACGATAATAAATTATCAAAACTCAAATGTAATAGTAGCAAAATGAAATAAAATGAATGGTTCCACCTAGTTTTCAAACTGGGTACCATAGCGCACTTTGATTTTGCTTACTAAGAACAGATGGCGACACCATTTTCACTACTTGAATTTTATTCTCTCCGTAACCAACTTTATGGTATACTGGTGAAATGTGTAGCATTTGTTA